TGATCGGAGAGCGCATTCCCCCCCCCGCCCATCTTGCAGAGGGCCTTCCTCAGACCATGAGAATCGTAGAGGCCCACTCAACAGTTCTTCTTCTCCATTTGTCGTCATCCCCTCTAATGATATGACCGGCCGTTTAAGTTTTGGCGTTCTTCATGCGTTCCACCGGATCGCGAAGGCGAGATATTCTGTGCATATCGTAGCTGCGTAGTTCGACTTGGTTTTGAGTGAATCTCCGGCGCGTAACAGAACGCAGAAAAAACTGTATGTCCGAACAGATGAGGGTGAAACTCCGGATCAGACAGATTTTTACCCGAAATAAACGTACGTCTTTTCTTTGATAGGTCTTGACCAATCTTAGTTTGACCTTTGATAGCCCGAGCATACTTCATTAACTGTGTCATTGTTTGGTTGATCAGTCCTACATTCTTCCTGCCTCATTGACTTCTGCGAACGCAGTCTCAGATTCTGCAACGCTGCTTGAAAAGAGAACATTGTCGTCCCCAAAACGGAGATTTGAGAGGAACCTTCCATCAATAAGTTCGCCTGTCTGGCGACCTTCTAACCCATAATAGCACAGCTGTTAACAGCTTCGACGGAATAGCGTCGCCCTATCTCAAACTTCTTTTAATGGGAATGGCGAGAGCGCTTTGAGACGGCCACACCGTTATATCGCAGCTAGCTAGTGTCCTTATGCAGAGAGGCTCTATCCCTTAGTCGATACCAGGTCTGACCGCATTTGTTTCAACGCAATCAAAAGTTTTCCCATAGTCAACAAAGGGGAAGACAAGGAGTATTTGGAATTCACGACACACTTCGATAACCAGGGCGACAGCTTAGATGTGATTTGAGGTAAGCAGCTGAATTCGTTCCGGAATCCTGCCTCTTCAACAGGTAACACATAACACATAACAGTGTTGGTATAACAAGAAATTAACACAGTGCCTCGTGTTATTCTGTGTTTCACTAATAGTGTATCGAAGGCGACGTAAATGCATCGGCCATCTGATGCAATTTTAGCAAAGGGGTGATCTTCTGTAACTAGGCCTCCGGATGGTAACAGCAACGGGGTAGATGAACTTATTACGTGCAAAAAGCTAAAAAATCGCTCATCCAGGAGCTCCTTCACTGCTAAGGCTTGGTTAAAGAATAGCGGGCAGGTCCTTACTTGACATGAAATAACATGTAACACTGTGTTAATTCCTTGATATACTAAAGAATAAGAATATTCTGTTGTATATGCCTCTATCCCCTTCTTCCACTACAATTTCACCCTTCTAAAAAAAACCTCAGTCGATGTAGAGAAGTGTTGTCAAAGCGCAGGAATTACGCGAAGTCTGCAGTCTGTAGTTTACGTGTAATTGGATGAACGTCTTTTTCTCGGGCCTGCAACGATGTTTCCTTGTGCCTTACTATTGATCAGGTGGAACATGCCCCATCTGATAAGAATAAAGGCCCACTCCTATAACATAACCTTCCTAGAAACTCGTAGAAACGCTTCCTAGAAAACTAGAAGCCTGAAGAAGCCGTCAGTGATAAGCTATGTAAATGCTGCAAACTGGAGCGCTCGAAATCGGCAAACAGGAAACGTCGCCTAGTGATCTGAACTCGCGTCGTTCTCTAAGTGCTCCAGAGTTATGTGAATGGTAGTGAGCCTACTGAGAACTGAGACCTGGAGGGTGTATACGGTACTGAAGGGCTGAGCGTAAAAGGAAGTTAAATGGCCTAGAAGAAGAAGGGAATAGTTTAAAGTTGTTGATCGGGTTTCCTATGTAGTATTGCAATACGGGCTTCGAGGAGGAGTAATTTTAGAGTTTTCAAGCCATTTCCCTTCTCCCAAAGTCTCAGGTGCAACACTTAGACTGTTCCTCTGACCTCCTTTTACATTAGAAAAAGTGTGGTGGTGAAGGAGAAAAATTCGGCCCTCGAGACTGAACAACACTGGGAACGGTTTTCTCAAGCAGTCGGTCCTTGCATGCGCTCAGCTGAAATATATATTCTACATCGAGAAATGCATATACCTTCGTTAGGAAGAGAAAACTGCTTTACGAGAAGTGATTCTTTCTTGTTGTGTTTAATCGCAATCGAGGACACATATTGGTCGAGCACCATCCACATGAAACAGCGTTGCCACTTCGAGTTGCAGCTTTCTCTGCATTCGAGCCAGCTGGGGGTGACGAGGGGCGAAACGCATCACGAGTACGCGTGAGACATCGCTAGTCCCTTTCTCTACGCTCTACTCTTTCGTCATCAGAGAACGCAGGCGAAGTCCTACCAGACACTGTGGTAAATAATGATGCAGCCACCTATGAACTCCACCGAAACTCACATTCTAGTGATTTCAGAAAAGGTCTCAGCTTTCGAAACGTGATCTTACGCAGGCCTGAAGCCAGGACAACTTTCTCTTACCTTTACAGAAAACCTTAATTTGCCTATGTTCCAAAATGATGCAGCCACTAACCAAATCAGCTTATTCAGCAATGATAAAAAGGAGAGGAAGTTGCGTGATTAGCAATCAGTTGGGTCCCTATTTCTTTGAACCATTTCGAAAGTACGACTGTGAAAGTTGAAATGAAAGCCGTGAAAGCCACCATTGAGTTCCTGGTCCACTTAGCGCTCAGCATCGACGATTGCTTTCTTCAGCACACTGATGACTCCAAATTGCTTGTTTCCTTCATACATCTTCCGTACCATAACTCTTCACACGTTTTCCATTGGATTCAAGTCAGGGTTCTTAGCTGGTCAGGACAAAAGATTTGTTGCCAACCAAGCCAGGCTTTTTGGTGCTACGTCTGACGTGATCATAGCAGTATCATGCATGAATGCGAGGTTCCGCTGCACTAAAAAAGAAGAAGAGTAGGGTCACTACGACTCGATAATCGGAAGGAATCAGATTCTCTAGAACACAAAACGTAAATGAAAACGTTTACATGGAGAACTTGTCGCATACCATGGCTCTTCTCCCTTGAAATTTTGTCTGGAAAACTGAAGATTCTCCCTTCTTACCATTAGCTCACAGCTCACAATTAAGCTTTTTTCGTCGAGAAACCAACCTGGAGAATGAAGCATCAAGAGAATGAAAAGAGAACGACATGACATGAAAGACATTTTACTCCAATCGATTCAGGTGCAATTCCTCGTTAAAGCGATCCGGTTATCGAAATGCTTTTCCATAATAAAGGGTGCCTTCCTCATTTTCCGCCCAACGATAATCCAAATTTTCTTGTCACGCTCCGAACTGTAATCCTGAATCATTGAGTTCCAAAGAGAACATGGTTTCTGTACTTGACTTCGTCGTACTCGACACTTCGCTCGAAAGCCGTCGCTTGTCTCTTCCCGAAGGTCGTCACTTGTTTCCTTCGACCTCATACTTTTGCAGGATTTTTGACGAATTTGGCGACAACTGGCGTGGTATCAGCTTCAATTTCGAGCCTACCCTATAAATTGACGGCCCCTATTCCTCTTTTGTAAGAACTTTACTTTTCTCAAAACCAGATAGCAACTCTCCTTCACGCACTACCTGAAATGAGAGAGCAAATAAAGCTATTGTGTGTGAAATGAACAGCGACTCGAAAAATTTGAGGTGATTGTATCATTTTGAATTATGGGCAGAGTGACCTTTTCTGAAAAAGTGAAGGGGAAAACTATCCTCAATGCTTTTGTGCCAGAGTTTCCTAATAGTGGAACATTTATTCGCCTGATCTTTTGACCAAACCGTCGTCATCAAAGGCCTGAAGGCGTTTCGGAGTTTCGGAGTGTTACCTACTACAATTGACGGGGATCAGCTCTTAACTAGCTGCAATTCAGATCGATGAGTTCCAAGTAAAAAGCTCAACAAGCCGCTCACGTCGATTTCACCGTCACCGCAGTTGCTCAACTTCAGAGACGACAGAGCAGTAGGGACAGCCCGGTCAACCGCGACCCTTTAATGGTATCGTGAAGTAACACGTATCAGTCTCCACTATCAAAGCACACAGAGAGGAAAGTAAGGCGAGAGGTCACCAGTTGTGTTGAAGCACTCATTCTTGTTATTCATGCTTGGATTCCATTGTCTCATCCGCGAAGCCTCTAGAGTTTTTTGGCATCAATTCTATTCTCGTAGGCCAAAATCGTGACTTCAATGTGAAGTTGCAACCAGACCTTCTCTTCTGTGTAGCAAGCATCACAAGTCAAACACTGAATTTGGTAAACCACAGCTCTTTGTGCACAATCTCCTACTTTCCAATACGGGAAGATCACGGAGTTATCCATGATGCAAATCTGGTCATAGATACGATTTCTAACCAATTGGTGTTTGATGTTTCTCTTGGTGTGTTAACCAAGAAGATGTCATTGGCCAGAACCGCTCCTTTTAGGCATTGCTGAATAACTGCGCTGAATCGATCTGATTGTCTGTTTTCCTGTTAACACAAGAAGAGACAACATTGAACACCAGTTGGTTAGAAATCGTTTCTAGGGCCGGATTTGCTTCATGTATAATTGCGTGACCTGCCCGAATGAAAAAATAGGAGAGTGTGCACAAAGAACTATGGTTTACCAAATTCAGTGTTTGACATGTGATGCTTGCTGTAATGGAGAAACCGAGAGACGGTTATGCGTTCGTGTGAAAGAGCATTTAGCAACAAACAAGGAATTGCTCGATTGCACCGCTTCGGAAGCCTAAAAGAGCAGGTCAAGCTGGTTGCGACTTTGACGTTAAATGCACGATTTTGGCCTACGAGAACAGTATCGGTGCCAGATAGACTCCATTGGCATTTCGGATAAGAAAACGAAATCTAAGCACGAATAACAAGAATGAGTGCATCAACATAACTGGTGACCTCCTGTGTCCGACCGGAATTCATAGCTCCTGGTCTCGCGGACATAGAGCATTCAAATCTAGAAGTAGTAGAAGGTGGTAGGATGGGTGCGCCTATGGTGATTGAAGGTCCGGAGTTCGTCCACAGGAGAGTGCAAATATTGTTGACTTGGAACCAAAACTTCAAATTTGGCAGGAGCATCGGCGGCAGGACTGCAACGCTTATGGCAGGTGCCAAGACTGGAATCCGCTCAGCAGAGGCCAGCGTGCACGAAAACATGCGGCCGAGGGGAAATCGATGATTCCTGCATTCTGGGATCTAGAGCATTCGGATTTGAAAGAAGTACGAGCGGCAGGGCGGGAACAATTATGGCACAGGGTAGGACGGTACTCCGTCCTGGGGGGAGAGGGACGTGCGCGAAAATCGTCAGTTTTGCTCTTACGCCACTGTTATTCGTCCATCTCTTACAAAACAGGAGAGAGATCGTATACGGAATGAACCGATGAATAGTAAGGGGGTTGTTAGGACGGAGTCAAAGGAGTAAAAGGTCGTCGTTCATACAGTGCGCGTTTTCTGGGACGGTGACATCCCAGAAAAAGCGCAAAGTGTGATCGACGACTAATTCAATGTGAGTTTCAACGCGTTCTTGCTCACAGTGACGGTTAGTTGGAAGAGTCCGTAGTTGATTTAACGGTGTCCTTCTTGTCAATAATGATGTGGTAGAATCGGATGACGACGCACCAGTAGGACGGGTTTGTGATAAGGACGGCTGTCTACTGATGTGGAGAGGCTTTCCACATTCTTATTTCACAGGAATCTGCTACTGTAGGAATTGATGGAAATACCTGCTGCAAACCTTTTGATTTCTTCCGCACTTCCCTGAACGACGAGCCTCGCTTTTGCAATATTGCGCGGGTCAATCGGTGCGTACTCATTAAATGAGCGAAATTCAGGGAAACTGATGCTCAGGAAGATTTCTAGGACTACGCTTTTATATGGGATTTGTGAAGATGCCAACATTGTACCACTGCTGGTCCGCAAAGGAATTGTACGCCGGATACATCTGTTCGCCATCTGCCAAGGGACAAATTCGAGGCTAAATGTCCAACCTGCACTTCTGTAACAAAGAAGTCCAGCCTCTGCACTTCACGGAAGACGTTTGGAGAAGTTATTGGAAAAAAGATTTACCCTGATGGCAAAAGAGGTCACTTAAAATGGCCGATAAACCCGTTGGAAAGCATGGGGCTGTCCGCTGTCGGCTGCTCCCAACGCATATCTTCTAACTTGAGTTCATAGTCATGAATATGAGTTCATACGAACTGTTGTGTTTACGAAAAATTCTTTGTTCGCGATGCTTAATCGAGAGAAACTGCAGTTGTTGATTGTTTGGATAGAGTCGTTACCTTCTAACGTTTTTCTTGCCAACGGGAATCGGGTGTAAGCTAGCGTTTAAGTATTTCATTGATTTCGAGAATATTCAGAAAGATCCTACCTTATATAATTCGCTAAGAGTGTCTGTTGGTTTGTCGGTGTTTTTGTTTGTTTGTTTGTCCGTGCGTGTGTCGGTTTGTGTGTTTCACCGTAAGTTCCTCTTCCAGTGGACCTAGAGTGTTGAAATTTGGTGGAAGTACAGGCAACAGGATGGAAACACTCATGGCAGATAGCTGGACAAGTCTCCGCCCTTGACCGTAAGGTAATAACTCCTGCTTACGTTGAGCTGGAGTGCTGAAATTTGGTGGGTTTAAATAGGTGATGTAGGATATGACGGGATCGTTGGTACTCGGTGACAGGAAAGATAATAACTGATAAGAAAAGATAAGGAGTTTAGAGAAGCAAGAGCCACCTACCGATCAAAATCCTAATCGTTCGGAATTTACAATGTAGCCGACTGCTCAGAATGTTTCAATCGATTAGACTGGATGGTAGAGTAGGGTGACAAAAGTAAATGGCAAGCGCAGTGATTGGAACCATTAGCGGGACTACGATAAGCAGATGAGAATTTTGTTCATTTCTTGCTATCAGATTA